ATGTTGGCGGACATCATGACCAAGGGACTATGAGGACCGCCTCATAAGAGTTGATGATAGCACTTGGCATAATCGCATGTTCGCATTGAAGGGGGGTATTATGGGTTCTTACGGGTTTTGGACTACAGGTGATGTATACAACCCAACAGGAACTATTCCCAAACCGCGGTTCAGTATAGGTTTTATATTATACAGTTAAAGTAACTACATTATGTAGAATGAGTGGTTACGGAAAGATGAAAAGGTAAGCCTCAATAAATAATTCACTTCCAAATTACCTTTCTTCTCCGCAGGAGTCCTCGCTCTGGTTACTCCTCTCGATGACCTTTCAATGTCACTTCATCTAAGCACCTTTACGTCCGCTCAGAACTTAAACAATCAAAGTATCTCAACTTTGTCACCAGGTTGAAAACAATACTTCGTGCCTTGCAAATAGCGAACGTTTTTCTAGACTACCGCCCAGGGCTCAGCATGTCGATTCTCCATAAATCTTGACATATAGCCAACAGCAGATGCAATATCAGACCGTGTTGTCGTTATCATATGCATGAGAGCTCTCACAGCCTTTGTTAATGGTACGTTTACTTTAATCAAAGCGTCACTTGGCATGAGCCTGATATCGCCGCTTGTGAGCCTTGAATGTCATGTACTTGATACACTTTGGACATATCTTCATCCCCTCAGAGCTCGTCGAGCGGGACTGCGCCTATGGATCCCAGTTATGCTGATAGAGAGGAGGCATAGCTCCGAGCTGCCGGGCAGCACACAAACACACGACGGTGGTATGTCTGTGGAGACAGCCGATCTCACCCCTCGGTTGAGACTGAGTCTGTTGAGTCCCAAAGAGGGAAAGCGCAGCAGAGCTCAGCCCCGAAGAGCTCCGTGCTGTTGAACACGGAACGTGTGTGCAAGTCGGTCATTCTGGTCGTATAAGCGTCCCTGAAGAACTTCGAGAAGCCATGGAAGATATTGATCGACTCTGGGGCGTCGGGCAATTATATTTGACGCTTCACAATAGAAAGAACACAGCTGTATGCTAAGGCGCTGAAAGCGCTGTTGAGTGACTTCGTCACTATTCGCTTATCGACGGGGACTTGTGTCACGGTGCCGATGGTTCCTGTGGACCTCGGTGTTAACTTTCTTGCCTTCGATTGTGTGGAGCGTTGCATAGTCTTAGACTTGGATTTAAGGTATGACCTTTCTTGGTATGGCATCGGAACTCCATGAGCCATGGATCGATTGAAGGTCTAAGAACTTGGGCCATATGCGCACGTCTCCTGGTGGAGCTTTGGCGAGTCATGAACCCTTGGAAGCATTGGCACTATTGGTACAGGCACTAAACCGGGACGGCCAACGTTCTGAAGATCGAAGTAGCCGAGTTGTCGTACACCGAATATGTATCGGACAGGAGTCCGAGGAATGGCACGTAGCCCACAGAGTGCTGCCCAAGTGTCGAAGCAGTCGCTGCATCCCATGCGTGGCATGGTCGGCCATGGGCCGAGACACCGAGCACAAACTCCAGGGATGCATGAGGAGTGGCACGTAGTCCACCTAGCACTGCTCACGCATCAAAGCAGTCGCTGCATGCCACGAGTGGCATAGTCGGACGAGGTCCAAGACATGTTGGACAAGGCCCTTCAGATGCGCGTGGAATGGCACGTTATCCACTGGACGAAGCCTGCGGAATTAGCAACTCTTCGTCGGATGTTGTTTGTAGGGGAGCACTGGATGACGCTGAGTGCGTGTTCCCACTGGTCTCGCCGAGACGTAGGGTTTAGGGTTTAGGGTCTGCCAGACGCAGGGCCTCGACCCTGACCCAGGGTAGGTGTACAGTAGCCAATAGCGCACAGCTATACACCCTCATCAACGATATGACGGGGGAGGAAGACGGCGATGTCACTCTTGGGATTATTCCCGCAATGGATGCTCTTCTTGAGCTGGACGAGATACCCTTCGAAGAATTCGGCAATTCCTTGAAGGCAGGCGACGTAGCCGAAGTGGTCATTCACGACTGGAGGAGAGAATTCAGCTCGCCGTCGCTTCTGGATGAAGCTGTCCTGGAGGACACTAAGAGGGTGCTGAAAGCGCGAAGCGGATCATCGACCCCTCGGGTCCGTATTATCCATTGGCGAAAGAATTTCACGACGTCGTCTTCATATACCCGCCGGTCCTACCTCCGGAAGGAGGTGTGCGTCATTAGATCGACCTGGCTCCGAGATTCAAATACTGCGTAACACGCCAATGCTTCCTGCGCAAAGAGCAGTGTGACGTCATTGACGCCTTCCTCCGTGCGAAGCAGTACGCTGGAATGGTTCGTAAGAGCAAGTACACACACGTTTTGTGTACGGAAGCCGAACGGCAAGTGGCGTAGCAGGGTTGCCGTAGCTCTTTCGCTTAGAGAAAGCTGTGCTAAGGTCGGTGACCTTCGTTCTATACTTAGAACCAGTACGAGTGTAGCGGATCGCATTCCGCTTACTCGAAGAGTAACCACAACCTTGATCCAAGCCAGAAAAATCTTTCGTTTAAAATGCAAAGTGCATTTTTTATTTATTTCGGCAAAGTCGCCTACAAAAAAATCTATAATTTTTACTAATTAAAGAGTAAAACCTAATCAAAAAGCAAAAATAGTGACAGTCCAGCCACGTACTTACTTCTTGTTAAGGTGTAGCCACACCATGTTGTGATTACACCATCTTGTGTAACCCACACCTTTGTACGGTCACACCATATTGTGTGACCCAGGGTACGTGTAGTCCCACGACACCCCCCTCAAAATTGTGAGCACCCTCAACTCACGTTTAGCTGTCGTCTCATACGAGGCTTGCTTGTTCAAGCCACCTCTGCATCCGCAAGACCTTCCGCACGCATTCGTTGCTCAATGAGTCCTGTGTTGAGGACACAGAAACCCAGTCTCGCTGGCTCCGAGAATGCCCGTGGGCAGAGCCCTTCTTCGTCTCCTGCACGCGGTGCACTTTCAGACAGTCACACACGTGCGCACATATATGCTCGTCCATTTGTACAGCTTGGACCACCGATAGTGGCATTTCACAGAGCTTTACATCCTCTCACAACCGAGATGACTACTAATTGGGGTGTCGTGGGCCTCATAGAGGATACGGTATTTCAGAGCCTCATCGCGAGGAGCCACAACTCGTGGCGTATCCGTCAAATCGGTGCTATAACACAGCAAGCCGTTACAAGGAATATCGGTGTACTCGTGCGCGCAAACGCATCGACAATTTCATGTCTGAGTTTTTCAACTCCTTGCCCCCGAGAGCCTGTAGCAGCGCTACACATATACTATCACCCGCGTATGCGGCGTTGACCAAATCTGTCACTGACGACATCACCGTCGTTACATGAGCAAGCTTATAATCCAGTCTGCTGACACGCACCATCCAATATATTTTGCTTTCTTGGTTTATTCACCTGAAAGCTTATTTTTTGCAAAGAATAAAAGCAACCTGACCACCTTCTACGAGGGCTAAGGCGACTGAGTCGCAGTGCGTAATAACGCATGATCTGTGTAGATGACAAACGGCTTTAGGCCAAGCAGGTGTGCTGAAATTGACAAGTGCACGATTCATCGCAAGTATTTTTTTGTGGATGGGGTAGTTCCTCTCCGTAGCCTTAAGCTGGCGACATTCAAACGCGATCACCCAATCTCACCCCTCGGCGTCTGCTTGCAGCAGTGCACAATCGATGGCAAAGTCTGAAGCGTCACAGACGACACTCAAAAGATCTTCAGGGTCTGGCAACGCCAGTATTGGTACATGAAGAGGTTGTCTTTGGCCCTGTCAAAACCCTCCCGAGTCTCGGTGTCCTAACATCATTTCTTCTGCGGCCTCCGCGCTAATGTGGCCAGAATGGAAGTCTTTAGTGTGCATCTGTCTACTTTTGAAGAAGTGGTGATTTTTTTCGCATTTAATGACATATTCAACTTCAAGTCGGCGCGACTTGGCTAGAAATGACACCCTCAGAGTTTGTCAAGTGCGCATGAGCTAATGGATCTCAGCTATGCTGAGAAAAAGGAGGGAGAGCTACCGAGCAGCGTTTGAACACCCGACGGTGTTTTATATGTTGATATACTCGTCACCTTCGGACTAGTTGTCCTCTGCCCATGCGCGTAAAGGTTAGTCAAGCCGACGTCCGTTACTAACTAGTCTGGTTTTTCCCGAAGAACTGAGTTTTTGTTGAGCCTCAAAGAGGTTGAGGGCAGCAGGGCCTAGCCCGAAGAGCTGCGTGATTTCGAACACGAAACATGTATGAAAGCCGGGCTTGCTGGTCGTAAAGCGACCGTGAAGAGCTTGAGAAGCCATGAAAAATCCTGATCGATTCCGGGGCGTCAAGCAATTATGCTCAACACTTCGCGATCGAAGGTGCTGAGATGCTGGAAGCGCGGTTGAGTGACATCGTCATCGTCACTGTTCGCTTAGTGACAGGGACTTGTGTCACTGTACCGAAGATCCCTGTGGATCTCGATGTCAAGTTCCTTGATTTTGATAGCGTGGAACGCTGTTTAGTTCCTTGATTTTGATAGCGTGGAATGCTGTCTAGTCTTAGATTTGGAATCAAGGTATGACCTTACCCTTGGTATAGCATGGCTGGAACACCATGAACCATTGATTGATTGGAGGTCGAAGACATTGGGCGCGCACGCGCACGTCTCCTGTTGGAGCTTTGGTGAGTCAAGAACCCACCTCTGTTGAACATGATCAATACGCTGAATATTGGAGTATCCGAGCTGTCAAACATTGAAGGTGCACTGGACACAAGTCTCAGGCATGATTCTTGGGCTGAACGTAGAGTGACACGTAACCCACTGAACGCTGCGCAAGTTCTGAAGCAGTCGCTGCATGCAAAGATTGGCATGGTCGGGCGAGGTCCGAGGTACCTTGAGCAAGGGTCTATTAATGTGCGTGGAGTGGCACGTTATCCACTGGACAAAGACTGCGGAAATAGCAGCTCTTCGTCG